CAGTCTGGGAACCAGCACCATGCACGAGCCACCGCTGGACTGGGAACAGCCAGACCTAAGCCTCTCCCTGCAGTCAGCACCATTCATGGAATGAGGAAAGAACAAAGCCACACCAGGAAGCAAGCCCAGTCTAGGAACTGGCACCATGTGCAGGCCACTGCTAGGCTGGAAACAGCCAGACCCCAGCCCCTTCCAGCATGTGGGCTGGCAAACAAAAGTACCAATTGTACCCCTTACCCCATAAATGATCAGCCTCTCTGGAGAAACTCAAGCTGTGATGATAGCTATCAAGGTGAAATGCACCTGGATGCCTGTGGTGCTTTAGGGTTTCTCTGACAATGCAGTCTAGGGCCAGTGGTCTGATCACAGGTTCAGAGGATAGCCGTATACAGTGTAACATCATCTCCTTTAGAGGATGGTAGCCATTGTTGATTCCCTGGATCTTGTTTTGAAGTCCTACATTGTTTCCATTGTTTTGTTGGGTTTTACTCTCTTTTGTTTTATTTATGTTAAATCCAATGGCAGGAGAAGATAGCACAATACATTATGGTAGCAATTTTGGATTTAGTATTTGCTTGTTTTGAAGTCCTTTACTGCATTCATTATCTTGTTTTTATTTTTCTATTCTATTCTGTTGATTTTTACTGTGTCTGAAGTTATCTGCAGCTACTCTGAAGACATCAAAAGGCATTACAGGGGCTGGGGATTTAGCTCAGTGGCACAAGCACCTGCCTGGCATGTGTGAGTTAGTGAGTTCAATCCCTGGTACAAAAAAAAAAAAAAAAAAAAAAATGGCAAAAAGGTATTATGGTAACTATTGTTGATTTCATAATGTTTTGAATCCTGTATCACTTACACTGGCTTGTTTTGACTGGTTTTATTTTGTTTTGTCCTCTTTAAAATAAAATTCAAAAAAGAAAATACCTTAAGAATAGTCAACAGAAACAATGAAACTGACACAGGGAAAAACGAGAATGAAAACTCTTAACTGCTGGGTGTGGTGGTACAGGTCTGTAATCCCAGCACAAGTGGCTGAGGACTGCTGCCAGTTTAAGGCCATCCTGAACTGTTTGACGACAACCTGGTTTTAAGAGCACACTAGACCCCTGCAGTAGGGTGGGTTGAGACTACTAGCCCTACTCACATGCCAAGATACCATCAAGGAGACAGAGTGAGACCATGTGCATTGTTTTGCTATGCATCCTCAGTAGGCAAGCTGGGCCTGTGGCTTGCTTTAGCTTGATCAAACACAGTTAATCCAAGGTTAGACAGGCTAGGGTAGGCTTAGATATGTATGGTTCTGGGTATGGACTTAATTACCTTGCTGGTTCTAGGGAACAATGAGTCTTTTCTACTAAAACAGACTTTCTGGATAGGGAGTTGGAATTCCTCAGACTTCTCCAGAACTGAAGTTCACTATCATCTTCTCTATATTGTTCTTTTATCTATGAGTAATTTCCAACTTACTTTGGATTGTGTACTTGTCTGGGAAAATATTGGTCTTGACGTTTTTGTTGTATTGACTATTGTTGCAACCTAGTCTGTTGTTGTCTTTCTTTGAGTCTGTCTCTTCTTAGAAACATCAAGAGTGTACTGTGTGAAAAAGCTCTTGATTTTGGTATTTGTTTGCTATACTTCTCTTGTTCCACGTGATAGCCAAAGGGTAGTAAATTCAGGTTTTACACCAATCATGGGAACCACTCCTAAGGCAGAGTACTCCTAAGAACCTAGAAATAGCATACCTTTTGGCTAATCAGGGAAAATTTAAGGATGATTTTGTTTGTTTTGTTTTGTTTTGTGCTCTTAAAGACAAGGTCTCACTATGTAGTTAAAGGTGGCCTTGAACTTATTATGTAGCCCAGGCCAGCCTTAAAACACACAACCTCCCAAGTGTTGGGATTATATGTTGCCATGTCTGGCAAGAAGGATGATTTGAAGAAATACAGGATGGTCTTCTTCTGGTAGCAGAGCTTAGCCTCAGTATAAATTGGGAAACCAAGAATACTGAACAAAATATGGGTCTCTGAATTACAATACCATTGTGCAGCCAGATCTGTTCTGTTAAAGGGAAGGAAGTGGTGAGATATTCCCTTACATCCAGGTTTTCATAGAGTTATTTGGATGGCTACAGTTTCAAAATCCCCTAGCTTCATTTCCAACCAAGGCAAAACCTCTTCACCTTGGCCCTCACCACTACCTGTCCCATCAATTCAGGGCTAAAATCAGAAAACATACCAGGACCCCATTTTACTTAAAGGAATTTCATTACAGAAAGTGTCAGCTAGGGATAGAAGCACTATCAGAATATGTTCTCTTCTTGGTAACAGACATGTTAAGAAAGATTTGGCAATTTTTTCAGGAATCCTGGTAAATTCAGGGGTGGATTAAGTTGAACGCAACTGACTACAGCATTAACTCGATGCTGTACTCCCGATGAGAAAGAACACATTCTTAAAAAGGCTGCTGAAGTAGCTGACACCCCAGACCACAATGTTTAGCCAGAGTAATAGGATATTAGTCAAGGGATATCTGCTGAGGATTTTAAGACACTTGTACTCTGCTAACAGACTACTCTTCATATTCAGGAAGGTCTCTGGACTCAAAGCACATCTACTATGGGCTGCATTTGCAAGGACAATACAAATGGAAATCAATGTTGATTGGCTAATTTCAATCCAGGGGGTAAGAGGGGTTAGAGTACTAATTGTGTGGGCCAGTCCTGAATCTACATTATGGGTAGAAGAGCAATTTGTCTCTGGATAGAATTTTCCCTGATATACAAGATGGGGTCACCTCAGAGTCAAGTTTCTGTACCAACAGAATACAGCCAGACTAGAGAAAATGGTGGAGAAAGATCTCAAAGTAAGGGAGGTATTGGCAATTGTTTGTCCTTGGACAAAGGCTAGATACAGTCTTGGAGGCAGTTTTTAGATAGAAGCACTGAGAAGAAAAGGCACTTGCTTGTGCATCTGCGAGCAGTGCAATGACACTGGAAGAAAGAAAGCTCCACTAGTCTCCTTTAGGGATAATGATACTATCTTGTATCATTATTATTATTATTATTATTATTATTATTATTATTATTGGCTTTTTGAGACAGAGTCTCACCATGCAGCTCAGGCTGCCCTTGAGCTCACTTTGTAGCCCAGGCTGGTCTCGAACTCACAACGATCCTCCTGCCTCAGCCTCCCGAGTGCTGGGATTACAGGCACGAGCCACCACGCCCAGCTTAACTTCTATTTTTAAACTGTTGGTAAAGTTTGCTCCTTCCAGACTAAAGAAATTCCAACTTAAGCAGATGATGATGCAGGGCTTCCAATCAACGTCTCCAGAGGAACGTCCAGAACAGTGTATATATTACTAGAGCAGTTGGCAAGAGATTTTTATTCCTTCAGTACACCGAGTCAACTGTCCCAGATCAGCTTCAACATCATTATGGAAGATGGTCTTTAGGCCCTTTAGTTCCCTTTAAGATTAAGGAGAATGAAATCTCAGCAGGGAATGAGGCAGATGAGGAATGCATGACTTTTCTCATTTTAACCCTGCAGGCTGGTTGGAGGATATGGCTCCACAAATGGTTGTCATGCCCCTGGCCCTTGTCTGTCTACTACCCTCAGTAGACTAGGACAACCTGCTTCAGGGTTCTCCCCCTTTATCAAACTACCACTCCACAATACAACATGAAAGTGCAGGAAGCATGGTCCCCCTCCCTAACTCCGCCACTTCAGAGGATATGCTACCTTTTTGAAAAAGGGTGGGCACCATGGAGTAGCTAAGATCAGGAAGGGAAGGATCTAGACCCCATATTTAGATACCCAACATTCACAGCAAGTTTTCAGCCCTGTCCCTTGCCATAACTGGCCTACGGTTGCTATTTAAGCAGCCCTCTCACTCACTTCTCAGGTTTTAGTCTAGGAGTGCTCTCTCCTATGCATGGACTCTCTTGTTAAAATAAAGATTTGCTTTGGTGTCCCTCATTAACATTTTTTTTTTGGTATCAGGGATTGAATTCACAAATTTGCACTTGCCAGGCAGGTGCTTACACCAACTGAGCTAAATTCCTGGACCAACAAAATTTTTTAAAAATAAACTTTTTATCAGCTGACTACTTCAGGTTATTTGCTACAACAATGTAGAGCTGACTGACAGAGAGAGCACTTCAGTGGCCCTTCAGCACTGTAATCCATCAGGAAGCAGTGTCTATTCCTCCTCCCTGCTTCTGTCCTCTCCTTATTCAAAGCCCCATGTACAAAGCCATGGCCCCTTTGCTGTGGGTGGCCATGGTGCCACAAAAGTGGGTTCTGATCACATGAAATTTCACAGGAGCAGAAACTCCTGTGACGGGTGCAGCCAAGGGCACACTGCCCTGCAGAATGGTGTTCCAGAACTGCCCTCCAGGAAGAGCCCTGTTTTGGCACTGAGGCTGAGGGGTGTTTTGACTTCTGGGTGGGAGAAGGACCTGTAGCCATGACCACCAGGTTTCACAGGCAGAAGCCAGGGTCCAGCTGCAGATGCATGCTCAGCAATGCTTTCAGATCATACGTCAAACCTTCCTTTCTGATACCAACATGACAAACATGTATAAACAACCCTGAACTTTAATTCACTTTCTGTCAGTGACTTTCCCATTAGCATCAGGCAGGGCACCTGCTCACATCCTGTTGCCTCACCGTATTTGTTCTGCTCTGCCAGCCCTTGCAGACTCACAACAAATTCCCTTGTAAGTGAGGCAGATACCCGCTGTTGGGCTAAGCTGATGCCCACAAGGACTGGGCAACATGATTCCCTGACTTCAGACCCAAAAAACTTAATGCTCAGTGTAGTATCTTTTTTTTTTTTTTTTTTCCTCTCAGTGTAGTATCTTAAACCACAGTCTGTATGCGTTCCTTTGTCTCTTCCAAGCTAACAACTAGGGACACAACTGACTTAGTGGCCCAGGAATGACTCTCGCCCACCTCTTAGACAACTTATCCCCAGGGGCTCCTGGGGATGAGACTCACATTATCCCGGATGTTGATGTCGGAGCCCTTGGATAGCAGCAGCTTCACAAGCTCCACATGCTTGTACTCAGTGGCCCAGATCATCGGTGTCCAACCACCATCATCCTGAGTGGAAAGAGGGAAACACAGCTACCGTATTACCCAAGAATTCTATCTCCAGGCATTCCACACACCTTGCTCAGGACCTGAGAGGTGGTACCAGAAAGCTACAGAGCACTTCCCTGGGTGACGCATGATCACAGAGCCTGCATGGCACTGGGCATCACCCCTGGCACTGCTGCTCTGCACTCTGCTGGCAAAGCTACCACTCCAGTCAGCGTGTGAAGAGGACCCTGGAAACAGAGAACTCAACAGTCTTTGTACCCTCACCAGGCTGAAGGCACCTAAAGACAGAAAGTGTGCACAACAGCACCCTCCACATACCCTCTTGGCCCCAGTGTGACAAACAGATGGACATCAGCCCATGGTTGAACATTTCTGCCTCTTCCTGGAGGAAGACAGCAGCAGAAGGTGTTGCAGGGTCAACTGAGGGTCTCATGAGCTGTCTCCCTACCACTGTACCCAAGTCTACTGCACCCTGGGCAGTTTCACTTTCAGGAACTAAGTCAAGATGCTAATTCCTAGTTCGGAGGTGACACACTCAGCCCTCAACCACTACTTTCAAAAGGGCTTCCTGCAGCTCACAGTCTGTATTTCTCTGGACATGCAACGGAAGACATTCTCTCCGCAGCTGACTTTTGGCACTGCCCAGGCCCTGGATGGGGGAGGGAGGCCCAGCAAATGCAGGGTGGCAGAAAACCTAACTACATGAGGACAAACGCAACCAGACAGGGACACGGAGCACTTCAGAAAAAGGCCCACCCACAAGCTGCTGTTTCAGATATACCTGGGAGGGGAGCGTACAAAGGCACAGGAGATGGGGAAGTGTTGGGCTGAGAGGCAGGGACAGAACTACCCAAGGCGATGGAGATCATCCCAGTGCTGTGCATCTAGGGGCCACTGTGTGCTGAGTGGCCCTGATGCCAGGCATTGCCAGGCCACTCATGAACTTGACAGACATCTGTGAGTATCTGCTGTGTACAGACACAGATGAGACTCCACAGACCACCATGTGGGCAAAACTCTGACTCTGCCAATGGGGACACAGATCAGTGAGGACACAGCCAATCCCTGGGGACAAGCCAGGCTGGAAAGGAGGCTGGCTGCAGGAGGGTAGGAGCTGTTCTGTGTTTAGAATACCTCACTCAAGATGACAACTAAAATGGGCCTGATAGAGATAGTGGCCCAGGCAGAACCCAAGGGAAGAACTGCCAGCTAAACAGTTGGGAGGGTTCCCTGCAGAGTAGGCTGGCAACAGGGATAAGGCCCTGGAAGAATCTGAGTGAATGGGGCACTATGGAGAACAATTGCAGAAGCAGAAGACGACTCTGTGTGTGTGTGTGTGAGAGAGAGAGAGAGAGACAGAGACAGAGACAGAGACAAACAGACACATTCAAATGGGATATGGCTTTACCTGGCAGTTGACATCCATCTGTCCATTGGACAGCAGATACTGAACCACGTCGTAGTGGCCTTTCTTGGCAGCCAAGTGCAAACAGGTGGAGCCCTCTGCATCCTGCAACACAAATGCTGCTTAGCCCACAGAGTCACCTGTGCCTAGGCCCGCAGCATGGGGCCACAGAGACTTCTGCTCCATTCAGGAGCAGGGATCCATCTGACAGGGGAGCTCAGGTTGAGGCGTATAGTCTTGTCACTGAGCACAGAGGCCACAAGGCAGAGCCAACATCCAAGCCCTTTGACCCCAATAAGGCAAAACAGGTGGTAGGAGCCATGGTACCATCACATATCTGAACAAACCACCTGACAAGACCACCTATTCCTACCACACAGCCAGGCGGCCAGGTGATAGCCCAGATTCCACTCCAGCCAAGCTGCTCCTACTGGGCCCTCTGAGCACTAAGGTCACATGGACGGCTCAGCAGTTGTACTCCAGACAAAAACAGAGCCAAGCCCTTACTGTAGCCCAACAGACCTGCCATCACTGGTTTCCACTTCTTTTGGCTGTTGGACACATCTCATTAGCTTTCAGCTGTTTCCTCGAGGACACTACACAGATCATACTAGTGGAACCATCTCAAGAAAAATACATACAGGAACAGGTCAGACCCAGAAGCTCCAGGGGATGCCAGGAGGGCCATGTGGTGATAGCTGGAGGCCAGCCTGAGAGTCCATCCAGCCCAAGGCTGGGCCAGACACTCTGCCTTTTCTCCTATAGGTCCTACTGCCATCTCTCTACTGACCTTCTTCTGTCTTTACTATTTTTCTCTTTTTCTAACTCAGAGCTGCAGTCCTAGGTTTTAGTATATATTACTGAGTATGCTTCTATTAAGACTAATATCCATCAGCACACATAACCTTATCAAGGACAACCTGGAAACCAAAGCCCCATGTGACTGGCCTTCAGGACCAACACTGGAGGACTGCTTCAAGTTTTAAGTGCAGAAATGTGTGTGGCAGAAGCAGTAGGGTCAGCTGTCCCACACTGCAACCGGTAGACACACACTCAGGCAAGAAGTCAGGCACCTGTGTACCTGTCAGTGGAAGAGAGGGATTTCACAGAGTGACAGACAGTCAAGGGAACCATGAAGAAGAAAGATGTGAAAGTTGTAAAATGTAGAAAAAGTTGTCATCTACTCTTCAGAGCTGTAAGGTGTGCCATTCACTTTGTTTTGGCTCAAGCAGAAATTCAAATCATATTTGCCCAAGGGAGCACTACTGCCCCACCCAGTGTCTTCATCCTCCTCCCAGACAGCCACCTTCATGCATACAGTACCTATCCTGTTACTCATCTCTTGATACTTTATGAAACCTGCATCCACCAGTGAGTCTCATACTTTGAAATGGTCTGCAACACACTCTAGGTACTTTTGCAATTCCTGTTTAGTTCCATACATGTTTTTGAGAATATTTGTAGATAACATGTAACAATCATTCTTGGTTTGAGAACACTGAGTTGTTTTGGACTTCTTGTTGTCTAAAACACACTGAATATTGCCATGTCTGCTCCTACAAGCCAGCACTGGCCACTTGAGAACTGCTAGTACATGAAGTCAGCTACCAACCTATCTGCCCACTGCCTAAAGGGCAGCACCTTGCCAAGTATTCCCAACATCTTAAGTTTTATATAATGCAATAATTAAAATGGTATTTTAGTCAGGTTTTTAAATGCTTTTCACGTTTTGTGTTCATTTATTGTTTCCTCCTTTGTAGGTTGCATGTTTATGTCCTTTGCCTGTTTTTCTTTCAGGCTGTTTATTTTTGTCTTGCCTAAGGAGTTCTTCATAGAATCACAAAGATAATCTTCCTCATTACTTTCTAAGCTTTGTACCTTTGCCTTTTCCTCAATCCTTGCTCACTGTGTGCATACTGCACCTCTCACCCTTCACTCCCACCACGCTGTCTTCACACTGGTGTGAAAGCACCACAGAGAACACTACCGGTTCTTTCTTTTCTGTCTGTGAGACACACACTTACCTTTCCAGCGCAGAGAGCTCAGTCTGTATCTGCAGCTGTAGACAAGCACAGGTTCAACCTACCACTTGGCCACTTGTCTTCTACTTGTCCCATTTGTCTTTATTCCTTGTTTCTTACATTTTAGTCACACAAACTATTTTTGAACATCCTCACTTCCTCTATCTTTTTTTCTCATAAAGCTGTTTCGTTTCTTAGTACTTTCTCCAGAGATTACAATATTCATGTTTAACTCTCTTTACTTAACACAGCACAAAAACTACCTCACAACATGTTGAGAGCAAGAGACTTTATGGTAGCCATTGCTGATTTCCTACTGTCTGGTTTTAAAGGCCTGTAATTCTTTCATTCTTTTGTTTTGATTGGTTTTATATTATTTTGTTTTGTTTGAATTTATTGTGTGTGAAGATACGGACAGCTACTTTGAAGAAAACAAGAGACATTATGGTAGCCATTGTTGATTTCCTGTTGTCTTGTTTTGAAGACCCATGTTGCTTGCATTGTTCTGTTCTGATCTGCTTTATTCTATTCACTTTAAAGAAAAAATTAAAAAAACAAAAAAACAAAAACAGCTCAGGACAGAGCGATTTCATTCATACACACTGTTTTCCTTTGTGCTACTGCTATTAAACCCTTAACTTCTGAATTTGTTTAAACATTATCTTATGTTATCCCTGCTGGACACAGTTGCTTGCCTTTTCCTCAAGTGGTGGCTGCTGCTGCTGGGCCTGGCCTGCTGGCTAACATAATCAGGCACCCCTGGGGCTCAGGAAAGGGCTGCTACTGCCTCCACTGCCCTCCTTTCAGTGCAATGACAACATCCTCCTGTGACAGGCCCACTGCCATGGGCAGGAAGTGGTACAGGACCTCACTACACTGCTTGCGTGTGTGTGATACTGTTTTTCTCTCATGACACTTTAAAGTTTTCTTTGTCTTTAGTTTTCAAGAGTTGAAATGTGATGTGGTTAGGTATGACTTTTTTATGATGTGCTTGCCTGTTTCTTAAATCTGTAGGTTGCTTGTTTTTTTTCCAAATTTGAGGAATCTATGACCATATTTTCCAATTTGTCTGTGTTAGCTTTTCTCTCGTCTATCTTCTGAGGCTCTGATCATAAAATTTGATCATGGTCTAAAATCTGTTTCACATACTCAATTAATTTCTGTAGGTGAGTTTTTATTTTCGTTTCTTCTGCTTTGTCCAATCTAGGTTACCAGTGACTGTGCCCTGCAGATTCCAGCTGCTCCAGGGCACCCTGAGCTCTTCCTCCACATTCCTAGCCCTGGATTTCTCCAGGGCTCCAGTCCTCTATGATGAGGTTGGACAACAGCTCCCTGGTACACAATGGCATGAGCATGGAGTTTGCCCGCCTGCCAGGATGAAAACATTGCTAATTATTCTCTAAACCTATTTATAGAAAAACTAAAGGCTTCCATATTTTAAAAACCATCAAAAACCAAATAAACGGACTAAATACGAACTTGAAAAAAAATATGTAGCATATGTAAATAATGCAAGTAAGTGTAACCTGAAAAAAATTGACTATAAAAGGAACAATAAGCTGAGTGCAGTGGTGCATACCCATAATCCCAGCACTGAGGAGGCTGAGGCAGGAACATCACTAAATTCGAGGCCAGCCTGAGCTACAAAATGAGTTCAAGGCCATCCTGAACTATGAAACTATAAACAATGAAACCCTGCCTCAAAAAAAGACACACACACACAAAAAGGCAATAATTGACACAGTAAAGGAAAGAAAACCTAATTTACATATCAAATTGTTAGTACTGAAAAACTCACAATAGAGTGATGGTAAGGGCAGGCTCAGACATTCCTAGAACAATTTATAAAGAGTAGTAGAACAAGCCCTACCAAAGGTCACCCAAGCCAAGGAGTTCAAGCCAGCAAACAACACATCTTTCGTTAAAGAAAAACAAAACAAAAAAAGTCTTAAAATGTTTACTGAAATGCTGCTTACAACAAAGTAGAAAATACATATTTATACACAAATTTGGTTTTAAAAAGATGCAATAACATAAAATACTGATGAAGTCATCTGAAGTGCTATCAGTATTTTATGCCTAAGAAATAATAAAAATTTAATGTGATGTTAAAAAAGGAAGTTGAAAAATTAGGATAAAAAGTAATGGTCACTTTTCAGTTGGTAAAAAATGAGTTTGAAAAGACTTTAAGAATATTTTTTACCTTTTCTTTCTCCAGTGTTGGCAGTGAAGCCAAGGTGCCATGCTTGCCAGGAAATGTCCACCATTGAGCTACCAGGCCAAATGTTTACATTTTTGTTTTTCATTTTTATCAGTACCAGGGATCAAACTCATGACTGCCTGCTTGCAAGGCAGGCGCTTATGCCGCTGAGCTAAATCCCCAGCCCCTATGTTTACATTTTTTAAAACTATGGCAACATATAACAGAATTTCCCATTTCAATCTTTCTCCTGGTTTTCTGAGACAGGGTCTCACTACGTAGTTCAGGATGGCCTTAAGTTCACTATGTAGCCCAGGCTGATCTCATACTTGTGGCAATCCTCCTGCCTCAGCCTCCCAAGTACTGCGATGATAGGCAAGCACCAACATGCCCAGCTTATTTTTTAGGTGTAGAATTCAGTAGCATTAGTTACATTTTCTATTTCCATCATCACAATTTCATGCCTTTTTCACAACCCAAACATATATAGCAATCCCAGCCCAGTCTTTCAATCCTGGGCAGTCTGTGCCTGTTCCACACCTAACCCCGATGTGTGTCCTTCAGCATCATTTCCTTTCCCTTTAGGCCTTCAAGGTTCCTTCCTTGCACACAGCACTTAAATCTAATGCTTCATTTCTCCCTATGACACAGCAATGTGGTACTACTGCATGCACTGACCGAGTGTTGTTCATTTCTCTGCTGATGGTCACCTGGGTTCTTTCTATCTCTTCAGCTCATGTGAACATTGTTGCAATGAACACTGCTGCTCAAAATCTTCATGTCTGCTTTTACTTCTTTGGGTATATACTGTGGGGCAGAATCACTGAAGCACATGGCAATCCTGTTTAGTGATTTGAGGAACTACCAAACTGTTATTTACAGTGGCTGCACCATACGAGAGTAACACTATCCATGTACTAGGGTCTTAACTTTTCCACATTCTCACCAACATTTACTTTCCCATTTCCAGATAAGAACACCCTGGTGATCAACAATGTCAAGCATCTAATTGACCATATGCACATCTTCTTTAGAGAAATGTCTATTCAAAGCTTTTGCCCCTTTTTAACCAGATTTTTTCAGGAGTTTTTATTGTTGAATTATAGGATTTCTTAATATATTCTGGATAGAAACCCTTTATCATATACAGGATTTGCAAATATTTTTTCCATTCTGTGGGTTGTCTATTCATTATCTTGACAGTATCTTTTGGATTTATAGAATTTTTTTTTAAATCGGTACCGGGGATCAAACTCACGACCACGCGCTTGCAAGGCAGGCGCTTATGCCACTGAGCTAAATCTCCAGCCCCAGGATGTGTAGAAGTTTTAATTTTGATAAAGTTTTTCTACTTTCTTTTACTGTTTGTGCTTTTGGTGTCATATCCAAGAGATCACTGCCAAAAGAATGCTCAAGAGACTTCTTTACCGTTTTCTCTTATATTGAGTTCTTTCATCCATTTTGCTCTAACTCTCTCACACAATACAAGGTGCAAGTCTCACCACATTCTTCTGCGTGCAGACATGGTGCATTTCTAGCATTATCTGCTGGCCCTTTGCCAGGTCTCCAAGTTGTGGTAAGAGTCCGCTGACTACATAAGGAAGGGTTTATTTCTGGGCTTTCTCTTCTGTTTTACTTGCATCTCTGTCTTTACACCAGCTTTCATTATTATAGCTTATAGACAGTTTTCAAATCAGCAACTCCGAGTTCTCCTTTTTTTTTTCCCCCAAAAATGTCTGGGTACTATTCCAGATCCCCTGAGACTCAATACAAATGTTGGAATGGCTTTTTCTCTAACTGTAGAAAAGGTTGTGGGGGTTTTGATAAGGATTGCATGGTACCCGCAGACTGCTTTGAGTAGCATTTTCATTTTAACTATATTAAGTCATCTAATATGTAAACACTGATTCTATGTGTGACTTCTCTAATTTCAGCAATGGCTTATGTAAATATTTTTTGCCTCCTTAAATGTATTCCTAAGCATATTATTCTTTTTGATGCCACAGTAAATGAACTGTCTTACTTCCCTTTTTAAACTACAAGTATATAAAAATATAACTTATTGTAATGTGTATTTCTTTGCTGAGTTAGAGCATTAGCTCTAATAATATTTTTGTGGATCCTTTAAGGTTTTCTATGTGCAGGATTATGTCATTCAGAACAGAAACCCATTTACTTCTTCCTTTCCAATTTGGATGCTTTCCATTTTTCTTTCTTTCTTTCTTTCTTTCTTTCTTTCTTTCTTTTTTGGTCTTTTTTGTCCTTTTTGTTGGTACCGGGGATCGAACTCACGACTGCCTGCTTGCAAGGCAGCTGAGCTAAATCCCCAGCCCCTTCCATTTTTCTTTTTAAAAGCGTATTTACTTAAACATTTATTTGTTTTAGAGACAGATTCTCACTGTGAGTCCAGGCTGACCTTGAACTCCTGAATGCTGGCACTACAGATGTGCACCATGACACTCAGCTCCCATTTCCTTTTTTGCCTGACTGCTCTGAGGAGAAGCCAAAAGAGGGAAAATACTTTGAAGGAAGGAAGGATGAGGTTTTTGTGTAGCAAACTTCACATAGGTTGATTTGCCTCTCTTCTATATAGCAGACTAGGTGCTAATAAACAAGGTCAACATGTAAGGTGAGGAACAACTACATGAGGAAATGTTTGAAGGTGCTCCGTGAAGAACTGTTCATCCTTCTGAGAAACATCTCCGCATGAAACAGCCATGTGGACTCAGAGTGGGGCATACCTTGGGGTCCACCTGTGCCCCAGCCTTGATGAGGTACTTCACTGCATCCAAATGGTTGTTCTCTGCAGCCTCCATCAGTGGAGTCCGCTGGTCTTCCGAGCAGGTATCAATATTGGCTCCAGCCTAGTAAAACAAAAATAGTTCAGGTTTCCAGAAAGTGGTTGCTGCAGCTCTACCCACAAGCAAAGGACTTAGATGCTTCCACCCTTGAAAAAAGATTTGATGAATGACATTAGAATTGTTTTACTGACCAATTAATTATGTCTAAATCTTCAAAAGCTGCATTTAAGACACAACTTTTCTCTATCAAGTTTTAATTTAAGAAGAACAGTTTCACTAGACTGCATTCCATTCCTAAACTTTTTTTGTTTTTTAATCGGTACCAGGGATCTAACTCAGGACTGCCTGCTTGCGAGGCAGGCGTTTATGCCACTGAGCTAAATCCCCAGCCCCTATTCCTAAGGGTTTACAGCAGAGTAGTGAGTGCATCTTTAGAAATGAGCAAGATGGTGCTAGCCTTTCAAGAAGGCAAAGTAGGGTGGGTGCAGAGGGACCTCAAGAAAGAGGGTGTGGAGAAGCCAAACAGAACCTGGCTCATCACTCTGCTGGCCTGACTCTCTGTCCAGTGTTGCCCAAAATAAAAAAGAACAAGTCCAGTGTGGTGGCACACACCTGCCATCCCAGCACTAGGAACCTTGAAGCAGAAAGATCGCTGCAAGTTTGAGGCCAATGTGGGCTACAAAGTGAGTTCAAATCAGTCTGAACTGTATAGCAAGACCCTGCCTCAAAACACAAAATTAAATAATTAATTAAATTTTAAAAAATAAAAATCAAAACTTAATTTCCAGTAATAAGAATTTTCGAGAAATTTCTAATTTTTCTAGTGAGGTAAAGAACTTGCAGGTGCACAGAGTAAAGTCCTCAATGCCAGATGTGTGCGAAAAGTCAGCCAGCTGTTGACAACTGAAAACTTTTCTTCACAAGAGAAAAGAGCTAACTTCTTACACTACTGAGGAGTTAAAATTCAATCTATCAGTCAAACGTTTACTGAATGAAATAAATGTGAAGGGTAAGAGATTTAGCCTAGTGGCATAAGTGCCTGTCCTTCAAGCACAAGGTCATTGAGTTTGATCCCCAGTACTGAAAAAAAAAGAAAGTGAAAATACTAATGCTTTACAATCAGCAATTACAAAACAGAAGTAGTTTAAGCAAGTGATTGACACAAGCCTGGAACTGGGTGGATGGGGAGCCAGGTACAATCACATGCTTCTAGCCACTTGTAAGTGGCTCTGAGATGGCCAAGGGGTTCCAGAGAAGACTTAGGTTATTTCAGGAGTTGTGCTTCATGGCCTGGAACTCAGGCCCATGGATAAGAGGTTACAGATCTGAACAATCAGAGCACTGAGGCATAAACATGGTGGAAGAAACAGGTTTATTTTAAACACAAAAGTTCAAAGACAAAGCCAGGCTGCTAAATTTGAGGGCAAAGTAAAAACAGAATCCTACTGTAGCTAATTTTAACTTAAGCAAAGAAATGAGCATAAGCTAGGCAGTGCTGATAATGGGGCTGAGGCCAAGGCTGCCCTCTGCAGGGCAAGCCAGGCTCTGTCTGTATAGAGCATAGAGCTCTGTTCTTCTTTGGCACCCCAGGGTGTTACACCCCAGATGAGCCAGACACCTGGATAGCCCTGTACCTTGGAGGCGAGGGATAAGGCCTGCCTGAAAAGTTGGGGTGAGGGCCTGGCACAAACCTTCACAGACAGCAAGCTATACTCCCAGGAAAGAAACTGACCATGTTCTAGGAAAACAAAGAGGCCACTGAGACACAGGAAAAAACAGAGTCAAACAGGCCTGCCAGATGACTAGTAGGATTTTCAAACAGGCAAGAGATGCCCAAAGAAATGTAGCTTCCAATGAGTTCAGCCTGTCTCATCCAGGAGGCGGGATGCAGTAAACTATCCTGCACCTGGCAGGACCCTCCTCCAGATGTTCCCAAACCTTCATTCCAGGCAAGTTTGTGACACCAAGAAGATTCACCTCTGCCTCACAGCCCTGCACATTTAACACACAATGCAAACATGAGCCCTTTCTCTCTAGAGTGACAAACTGAAGAAGAAACAGCAAACAGAGAAAGACAAAGGCTCCACATGTTGACAGGGCCTCCACAAGCTGAGACACAGTGCTTCTGTGACTCCCAGGGTGCCCTCCAGGACTCAGACACAGCAGGTACACCATCCAAAAAGGACAAAGAGTGCCAGGATAGCAGAGGTGACAAGACCCACATTAGGGCTGGGAAAGACAGCTCCACTAGTGGGGAGAAGCCCATAGGCTCATAACACTGGAACACAATGATGCTCCCTGAATGATCGTTGGAGCCTGTTAGTCCGGGAGTAAGATCATGGGTATCTACAGCACTGGCAAAGGTTGGGTGGACTCCAGATCAGTGCCAGAGAAATGTTTCCTGCCATACCAGGGTGTTTTCCATGTGCACTACCCTAGGCAGCAACCCTGACCACATAGCTACTAAGCATGGAACACAAATACTCTGATGAGCTTCTTCCCTCTAGTCACAAACAGCTGGGGCTTGCAGAACAAAACAAGGGCTCTTAGACTCCAGAAAAACCTCTCAGGAGAACACACTCCCACAGACTCTCTCCCCTGCAGGATGCTCCACTCAAAACCAAGTACAGATCGGCACCAGTGGTCAGTCCAGCTTCGATGGGTCCAGGGGAAAGGACCCAAGAACACAGAAGATCACCATCAGCCTTTGCTAGACGTCTGGCCAGAGCCACAAATGCTGCGAACAGGAGAAATCCCACTCTTGGATTCTGAGACACTAGAAAAAACTTCTATTTTCTCTCTTTGAGAAATCTCAGGAAAATGGCTTTAACTTCTAAGAGAACACACACACACACACACACACACACACACACACACACACCTTAAGGTCAATAACAGGAAGCTTGGCAGCTGAAATCTGATCAAGCAACAGGCTAGAAACTGAATAAGCTTAAATGGGCCAGGTCAGTCAGATCTTCCACTGAAAGAAGCTAAAGGACTCCTACATATATAGGGTTCCTCCATATATTGGATGATTTGCAACACTCAGGCTCACTGGGTTTGCTGGAAACAGAACAGAGCTCACACAGCTTCTCAAGGACAAAGTCACTGTGTATCCACGGCCTGTGGCAAAGATGGAATGGGATCCTGATGTCACTACCTGGACATTTGTCTCCACTGAGCCTCCCTGATTTTGCATGCACTCATTCGGTTCCCGCTTTTGTTTTTGGTACTAAAAGAAGCTGCATACAAAGAGTCAGAACTGTACATCTTGAGTATCATAAAGGTTAAAATAGACAAAAGTAAACAATAGTGCTTAGGGGTGGTACAGCCAAGGAGACAGGCAGATGTGATCCTCACGGTAAGGAGCCTTGGGGAAGCAGCGCTGAGTCCACCTTACAATGGCAGGACATCTTATGGGTTTCTCCACACACGTGGCATAGACATATGCTTATTTACTGACTTTAGGTTGAGTATGTGTGTGTTGGAGACTGAACCTAAGAGTACTGTGTGTATTCAGTACACACTCTGCCACTGAGCTAATGCTCAGCCCCTTAGTGTTTTTAAAACGAAGCAAGGAAAAAATAGTGTCATCTAGAGGAACGACAAGCTAGTTCTTACAAATGGAAATCCGTGGACAACAATGGAATCATGATCAGTAACTACCAGCTGGAACTCTAGGTCCAGCAGAAAAGTCCTTCAGAAGATGCTAAACTCACCATGGGAGACAGATTGTCCCAAGATCTGGAGACCACTGGCCTCTATCTCTGCTGTGCCTGTGCCCCATGTGGCCCACACTTCCTGGACTGTCACTTGATCCTCGGCTAAGATACAAGACCTACATGCTCATGGCTTCTCAGGTGGGATGCCCTGCCCTACAAGGCACCAGTTCCTAGTAAAACCTGTGAAACTCCCTCAGCACTCCCTCCTGTGTGGCCCACCCCTCAGCCAGGACTGCCTCCACGTCCCTAGCTTGTCAGACCTCATTCCCTGCCCTCAACTCCTCACCTCACAGGGCTTTGTATGTCAGCCTAGAGCTTCTGAGTGACCATTAGCAATACCTTCAAGGAAACAGGGAGAAGAAAGAGGCTGTAATATAGAGCAGTCAAGAGTAGGAAAGGGCTCTCAGTGTGAGAGTACAGATTAATATCCCCCAGCAGTCAGAGCTGAGTTGAGGACAAGTCAAAAAAGTACAACCAGCAGACAGAAAATGACCTCAGCATCAGTGCAGAGGGCCACACCCTGGAGGACAGAGCCCAACAGGAGACAGCTTGAGGGTGTTGTCAGCCATCTGAAAAAACAGGACCAAAGGCCATGGACTCTTACATGGATGGGACACCTCAATGCCCTAAAGAACAGGAAAGTATGGACTTCAGACCCAAAGAGCTTAAGGACAGTTATCAAAGCTTCTAGAAGTAAAGGTCACACAAGAGGATCAGAAGTCAGAATATATCAGACTTTGTGTGACATCTGGAAAATGGCCCAGCCAGGGTCATGAAAGACTGTCAAAAAGGGCCTTCTCAGGGAGTATCAGCAAGCATCACCCAAGAGTGTGAACAAGGAGAGCACTGCAATCTGGACAGAGGACAGGAAGAAACTGACATCAACTCAACCACGGCAAACTCACAACGACTGTACATTTCTGACAAAGCACACTATGTAAACAAGGGGACTCAGCCTTAAGAAGTCTCTGCAGGAGAATTTCTAAGCTTTTAGTCTTGAAACAATACAGTCAGGGAAATACACACACATGCATACACATTTAAAAGAACAAATAAACCTTTGAAATTTTATGGAACACTATTAAAAGAGCAAAACTTTACAAGAATGGATTCTTTTTCCAGAGAACAAAGGAAGAGAAAAAGTAGAGGAAACCCATTCAATGAAATGTTTAAAATCTTAACAACCTCGGGGAAGATATGAACATCTAGATTGAAAGAAACTCTAAAAGATTCAAACAATAAAGCTCCTTGCCAAGACTTGTTGCAGTCCAGCTGTCAAGAGTACAAGGCAGAGAGAGAATGCTAAACGCGGCAAAAGTGCCAAGTCACATACAAGGAAATTCCTGCGAGAGCAACAGACTTCTTAGCAGAAACTCTGCAAGCCAGAAGAGTATTGGATATCTTTGGAGTGGTGAAAGAATAAAACTGCCAACTAAGAATACGACACCTAGCAAAATTAGGTCGAAAAACCCAAGCTAGGCATGGTGGTAGAGGCAAGTAAACCAGCACTCAGGAGGCTAAGGCAGGAGAATCCTGAGTTCAAGGCCAGCTTGGGTTACATAGCAAGTTTGAAATCACCCTGAGCTACACAGCAACAACCAGCCTCAAATTAATTAATTAACTAATTAATTTTTAAAAGCTGAAGTCTCCACCAAAAAAAAATCTGTTAGATATGATATCAACAAGGCTGGCAGATACACCAAAATCTTTCTTATACAATAAAAATGAAACTCCCAAAAAAGATTGAGAAATCAATCCCATTTATTTTAGCTCCAAACAAATAAAATGCCTAAGAATAATTTTAACCAAAGAGGTGAAGAAGCTCCACAATAAAAATTACACACACTGATAAAGGAAATAGAAGAGAACTTTTAAAAAAAAAGACCCCTCTAAATTTAAAGACCCAAACCAAAAATGAGCATCAGAATTAATAACTATTATCAAGAAATCGATCAGTAAGAAATGCTGCTGAGAGGAAAAGGAACCATTCTCGATTGCTGGTTTGAGTGTAAACTGGTACAACCACTATCAAAATCACTATAGAGATTCCTCAAAAAACTAAAACTACAGGTTTTATTTGACCGAGCTGTTCTCTTTCTAGGTATCTTCCCAAGAGTTAAAAGTACCATACCACAGTGATGTATGCACACCCATGTTTACAGCAGCACAGTTTATAATAGCCAGATCTTGGAAATAGCCCATATGCATATCAAAAGATGAGTGATAAGTAAAATGTGGTGCTTATACGCAGTGGAACACTGCCATAAGAAGGATAAATGAATCATTTGTAGGAAAATGGATATCCCTCAAGATCATAATCTTAAGTGAAATAAATCAGATATACAAGTTTATTTCTTTTGTGTGAGAAATCCAAAAGGTAAATAAGGAACATTATGGAGGATAGATATTGGGAAGTAGGAAGACCATGTTCGAATGGAAAGGGGAACAAATGAGAGGAGGAAGGTAAAAGGAAACAAAGAATGGAAGAAGGAAAAAAGGGAAACAAAGCTTTTGTAAACAAAGAGCAGCTGAAGGGAGGGGAAGAGAATGAGAAAAAAAGAAAAAGCAAGATACATCATGTACGGGTACATATTCCCTGTGATGAATGTTACTACCACAGATATGTAAAATGTACCAATAAAAAAAGAATAAAGGGGGCTGGGGATTTAGCTCAGCGGCATAAACACCTGCCTTGCAAGAGACGATCATGAGTTCGATCACCGGTACCGATTAAAAAAAAAAAAAAAAAGGATAGAAGGGAAAAAATGGAAACAAAGATTTTTATAAATGGGAAAGGGAAGAAAAGTTGAAAGGAAGCAAGAGGAATAGGGAAGAAAAAGAATGAAGATACATCATATACATGTACAAATTCCCTATAATGAATGTGTTCAATATGTATGACAAATATGTGCTCTACTAATTATAAAAAAAAAAAAAGAAACTTTAAAAAAAGGAAACTGAGAAAGAGGTACAGAAAGTAGTTTTATAAAAGAGTCACATGGACTGAAGCAAGATTGAGAAATGGGAATCAGAGGGCATAACCAGACACAAACTAGAAAATAAACACCATGGAGCAAGTTAATGAAACTGCAAAAGAATGCACTCATCAATGAAGAGGAACATACGAGATAGACAGTAGGAAATAAAACACAGGCCTTTTACAAAACAGGAAGGGAAAAACAGATGGAAGAAGGAAGGCAGGGGGAGGGATGAAAAGAAATTAAGATTGCTATGTACATGTACCAACTCCACACAAGAAATGCAACACTGTGTACTGCAAACATATACTAACAAAAATAAAAATGGGAAAAAAGTTAAAATCTTGAAAGAAAAAGAAACAAAACAAAAAACTAGAAAGATCTCTGTAATGTACATAAATCCAAAGAATATTGATAAAATAGTACATCAAAAGCAATGTACAGATTCAGTGCAATTCCAATCAAATTACCAGTCCTATCAAATTTCCATTTCTTCATGGAAATTAAAAATAACACTCCTAAAATTTGTACGGAGGGCTGGGGATTTAGCTGAGCAGCATAAGTGCCTGCCTGGCAAGCACAAGGTCGTGAGTTCAATCCTAATACCAAAATAAATAAATAAATAAAATAAAATTTGTATGGAACCCCAAAAAGCCCTAATACCCAAAAAAAAAACTTGAGCAAAAATAATAAAGCTTCAGGTATCACATACCTGCCTTTAAGACACACTGCAGAGTCACAGGACCCAAACATCATGGGACTGGCCTAAAAACTAACACACAGACCAACAGAACAGAACAGGGAATCTACAAACAAATTCATACATTTATTGATGGGGCTGAAAGTTCCTGATTTTGACAAAAGCATCAAGAAACATACATTGGACTAAGGACAGCCTCTTCAGTAAGAAATGTAGCAACTAAAACTATCAAACTTCTAGGAGAAAACACAGAGCAAATGTTTCAAGATACTGGCTTTGGCAAAGATTTTTGGATATCCAAGAACTGACAATGGAGATTATGTCAAACCAAAAAGCTTCTGAACAGCAAAAGAAATAATCAGTAGAGTTTAATAGACAACCTACACGATATGTCAAACATGGCGGCACATGCCTGTAACCCTAGCATTCAGGAGGCTGAGGCACGAGGATTATTACAAGATAGGGGCCAGCCTGGGCTACAAAGTGAGTTCAAGGCCAGCCTGAACTGCAGAGTGAGACCCTGTCTCAAAAAGACCTCCCCCTCCAGATAAAGAGGCAGGGGCAACCTACAATATAAAGAAACTTATTTGTAAAATAGTCATCCAACAAAGAGTTGATTTCCAGACTATATAAGGAACTCAAACAACTCAACAGCCCCCCCTCCCCAAATCCATGGGCTGGGGATTTAGCTCAACAGTATACGCGCCTGCCTTGCAAGCGCACAGTTGTGAGTTCGATCCCCAGTACCAAAAAAAAAAAAAAAAAAAGAGGAAAGAAAGAAAAAAGCAGGCTGGTGAGAATGTTTAGCAAGCAGAACTTTCACACATTGTTATGTATGTTAGCAGACAATGTGAAAGACAGGATGAAAGTTTAAAAAACTAAAAATGAGCCAGTCAAGGTGGCACACTCTTGCAATCCCAGCATTCTGGAAGTCTGAGGCAGGAGGACCACAAGTTTAAGTCCAGCCTGGGCAACTTAGCAAGATCTTGCCTCAAAATCCCTGGGGATATAGCCCACTGTGAAGATCCCAGTAAGGGAAAAAAGAAAGGAAGGAACAAACGTAGAGAAATCTGCACTTGCGTATTACTGCAGGCCTGCTCCCAACAGCCAAGACGTAAAGTCCACTCAGGTGGTATTCTCAGAAAAGTGGACAGAGACATTGTGGTAAACATACACAGTGAATTAGCCATGAAGAAAAATGAAAGCCCTTCCATTTGCAGCAGCATGATGGAATTAGAGGACACCGTGTAAAGTAAAATAGGCAAGACAAAAAAATACTTCCTGTCCTCACTTACATATGGCTATAAACGACAGAATAGTAGCTATCAGAGGATGGGAGGAATAGGAAGGGAGGGATAATAGGAAGGTGACCATGAGTGTAAGGTGCAGCTACCTAGGAAAAATAACTTCAGTGTTCCACAGCACTGTAAGGAAACTGCGATTGACATAATTAACTGAATATTTCAGAAGAGCTCAGAGAAGATTTTAAATGCTCTCAACACAAATAGATGTCTGAGCTAACAGATAAGTCATCCACCTCAATATGATCAACACACTTTGTGCACATGTATGAAAAAACACACTGTACTCCATAAACATGTGCAGTTACTATGTGTCAATTAAAGATAGAGACATTTCTTAAGAAAGCACTTCCACAATCATAATTAAAGCCAATTCTAGATACAATATTAACACTGAAGGAGAATACCCAGATCCTGGGGAGGGGAGAGTAGATCTGGACTCAGAAAAACCCTTATCCTCTGTGCAGGCAATGAGTAAATATTTTTAAAACTACAACTAAGCTAAAACTGAAAAATAAATTGAGGATCAGCAGCAGAGACATATGGCTGTTAACACAACAGCAAAAATGAGACAAAATGCTGGAACTAGGCACGGAAGGACAGGCAGGCCACGTTCTGGTGGCACCATACACCACCACACCACTGTGGCCGTGTTAAAATCCAGGGTCACTTCGCTATGACCAATAGCCAGGGAAGAGGTCTGGGAAAACCACCCTCCGAACCTGAACCAGCATGTGGCAGATGTCCACGTGGCCAGCCTCCGCCGCAGCGTGCAATGGGGAGCGCTTGTTCTGGTGCTCCATTTTGAAGTTGGGGTCGATTCCATCCACTGTGAACAAACATGGTTTTACTAATGGCGTCATGTGCGCTTCAGATGCTCACAGTGGCTGGCAGTGCCTACACACAGACATCCTGAGATAAGCGGGCAGCTCCAGGGGCAAGCCAGAGCCCACCACATCACCATGCTCATGTGGTGCACAAGCCAGGTCCCACTTGGATTCACAAGACAACACACTTGCTGCTTCATGGCCCTTCCTGGAGGTTCTTGAGCGTTCCTGGTCATAGTTACCCTCACACCTGTGAGAACACTAACAAGGGCAGGAGCAAGGCTTCAACACAAGCCCCATGAGCATACGTCTGTACATTTGGCCAAGAGACCATGTACCATGTACTGGTGAGAAATTTAACACTGTATGAAATCTAAGGGAAGTCAGTGAAGTTGCTATTTTAATTAAAATTAAACAAACCTCTCTTTTCAGAGCAAACTTTAGTTTCTTTCATGATGTTCTGCCAGCAAAGGGCTCTTCATATTTGACAACTCCAAAAAGACAAACTTCAGAGGGATCGGGCCTAGAGTTATGTATGAGCACAAGTAGGCTCCCTAGGTTACTGAAAGCATAGAGCTGGGAGGGTCCACCTGTCAGGAAGCACAGGGTGGGAACACACCCAGGACCACAGTGGCACAGCGGGCACAGTGCTCCCTGTCAGAAGACAGTTCAGCTCCCTCCTCACCACAGGTCCCAACAGAGCCCCACCTAATATGCCCTTCTCAGATCTGCTTTTGTCTGACTTATAATCACATACCAAATTCCTTTTTTAAAATTATGAATGCACAGAGAGTATTTCTATTACCACGAGCAAGTGAATATGAGCATCACAAACAGCCTGAACTGCAGTGGGCACCTCTTTTCACTATCAGAGGAACCAGAGACTTCTGAACAGAGAATACAAGATCAGACTCAGGATAAAGGGGCAATGCAGAAGCTCTGCTCTTCCTGCCACAGACTCACCTAGCATCAGGAGCACTTTCTGCAGCTCACCCTGCCTGGCCGAGAAGTACAGCTGCTTCGGGTGGAAGCGAAGCTTCTTGGGTCTGCAGGGAAGCAGAGGACAGCAGTCAGCACAGGCTGGGTCAGGCCTCATCCCACTGGCGAACTGAAGGTGTGGAGCAAGGGCTCCCTGTCCACTCCTCCAATCAAGCACACCAGGGCCACCGGTCTCAAAGCAACTCACAGGGGTAAAACCAGCCATTGTCTTCTTAGCCACAGCATGAGAATGCTGCAAATAAGGCCACTCACGATGCAACACCAGGACCCAGAACACACAACAGAGTTGCTGCTGCATAGGCCAAGGAAAGCCCAGGGAACCAATGACCCACACTTAGCGCAGCAACAAGGTTGCACCTGCAACTCAGTCTTGCATGGGTCATAGAGCTATCACTGAGCAGCACAGCCAGCCTCTAGCAGTGAGAAAGGGCCCAGGCAGATGATGATGTCCTGTCTGCTGCTTAATAACTAAGGTAACAGCCAGGGCATGGTCAGTGGGCAGGGAGAGTGGCCATCAGACGGACAGAAAGCCAGTGCTAAGGACAAGCTCAGAGACCAGGCTAGAGAGAGACAATAGAAAGTTACAGGGAGAGGCTACCCAGCACCAGGAAGATCAGGACAAGGGATTTAGCAATACCAGAATTTTTGTTAGGCTGAAGAGTACACATGTCACTCTCTCCCTGGAAGAGGGTGGGCTTGGTGCAGTGGTCCCCTCAGCCTCCCTAAGGCAGGTGAGGCTGTCTTGGGACAGTAGGACAAGTATGCCCCAGCAAGCCCAAAGCAGCAGAGGTCCCACTCCACCCTCACACAGCAGTGTCTGCATTAGGGTGTGCAGGTGATTCACCCAGCATGTCTTCAAAGCTCACAGGACAGTACTGACTCAGCATGACAAGGAAGACCAAAACTTATAACTTCCCCAAACAGTGTAAAGACTTGTTCTGACCAACAGTGTTATTCCAAAGATGAAATGTACACATGACTCCAGGACAGAACACAAGCCTCGAGCCACCTCTACAATGCAGACCAGCTCTTACTTTTCTGAGTCCAAAGCAATCAGAGCACTCTCCAAGGTTTCCTTCCCGGGTCCCTGGGAAAGGCCAGAGGTCTGCCTCACCAGCCCAGCCGACCCCGTGGCATCAAAGCCCTCAGGCGCCTGGGGAGCTGTGCTCTGTGGTTTGTCGTCCTCGGAGAGCAGGGCTGCAGCAGTGCTTGAGGGGAGGAAATCATTGAAATGTTGAGTTTCGGCATTTAAAAAAGCTCCCTTCTCATGGAAACCAATGAAAACACAAACAACCTGCTTCAATTTATCCCTCATCCCTTCTTAAGGGAAGATAATGGACAGTCAAATGACTACTAGCTTGGCCCCAGGAGAGGCACCCAGAATTCAGAACCTCATTCCTGAGAATTGCAAACTTTAAAGTCAAGATGACACTCCTACAATTCCTAGTTACACAACCCCTGCCCACTGCCCTCTCAGCAGAAAGAAACCCCCAGAACCGTGACCCAGATACACTAAGTTCAATGATTACTATGAAGGGATTGATATACTGCAAGCCTTAATTTAAGGTCTCCACAATCACCATCGCTTGAATGACCTTCACTCTAGATTTAGTTTCTCTTCTAGTACTGCTAGTCACTAAGTTTAGTCTCTTCTGTGCTGAGTAGCTCATAGGTTTTGCTGCTCTCTGCTTCCTCTCCTTCCTAGCAGGATTTGGCTGATAGATGCTGACAGCTGTGTTTCTCTTATTCTCTTGCTGACCTGGCAGCTGCTTCTGCAAGATTCTCTCTGGAAGACAAGTGCATGTGTCTGTGTGAGTACTTCTACTCTTCTGGACTGTGTTTCCTGCCTTTAGCAACAACTGGAGAGCCTGCTGCCAGGGGTACTATAGGAACAATGTGTAGCAGCTAACAGGTGCTTTTTGCAACAGTTACCTATAGTGACTGGGCTACTGACAAAAGATTACAAAGTCATCCCAATTAGGCTGGTGAGAAAATTGGTTCAAAACAGGCAAATGAACCTGCAAAACCAAATTGAAAGAGATCCCCGTAAAGCTGGATGTGATGGTACACACCTGTAATCGTAGCACTCAGGACGCTGAGGCAGGAGCTGTGATATTGAGGCCAGCCTTGGCTAGATAGTAAACCCTGTCTCAAAACACCAAATAAATAAATAAATAAGACCCATCTATAAACAGTAATAAATGAACATTGATGTTTCTATTTGTGTATGTGTGCATGCATGCACACCTCAGTGCACAGGTGTAGCAATACTTTAGACTTAATGAGAGCCTTTGCTTTGAGCTGCATCCCCAGCCCATTTTACTTTTGGTTTTTTATTTTGAGACAGGGTCTTGCCAAGTTGGCCAGGCTGGACTCAAACTTGCAATCCTCCTTGCTCAGCCTCATAAGCAGCTGCAATTACAGGTGTGTGCCACCATATTCAACTAATGTTCAGTAAAGATCAGAAATTACAAGCAACAATGTTAGCTGAGACTTCTGGATAAAGCAGTGGAAACCAGCAACAACTAGTTGACGTATCTTCAGGGTCACCAAGTGGAAGCTCAGCCAGAGCCACATCAGCAGGTACCTGCCAGTGGTCGTGTCGGCCCTGCCCTCGGCAACCAAGCTCTTCTCCTGTCCCGGGGCAGGCATCACCGTGGAGGTGGTGTCTGCTTTTGCTATGGTCACCTCTTTGGCCTTGGAGGTGTCCTCCCCGCAGTGGGGACAGTAGCTGGCATTGTTGATGCGAGAGGCACAATCCTTGTGGAAACGGTGAGAGATGCTGCTCTCGGGCTGACATTCCATAAAATTACCCTAGAAACAGGAAGGCGAAGATCAATTTCAAAAATTGGGGCTAATACTCAGAAAAATAAACAAAGCTCAACTGAGCCAGTTGGGCCAAGTAAGTGAGCAAGTACGGCAGCCATGGCCGGGTGCTAGTCCAGTCCCCAGCTGGCAAGGAGTAAGAATGGTATCTACAAAGAGCTTCTTCCTCAACCCCATAGCTTCCAGAGAGCAGAGGCCAGCAGCAGCCATCTCACTGTCCACCTGGCACCCACAACCAAGAAACCTGAGTCCTCGCTGTCTGGCCACTTAGAGCAAGAAGGTACACAAGAAGTCCTTGTCCAGATTAGGACCACTGGGTAGGACCCTGTTCCACAAGACTGATGGGGTCAGACAGGTCGAAAGTCTTGAAACAGGGGAAGGGCTCATTCCTGGCATGTGAGTGAGCACAAGCAGATGAGCACCAGAAAACAGAGAGACGAGATGCAGAGAAGCACCTCTCTTTCTTATGGGAAGCACAAAAAGGGTGTCTTGAGAGGGGGGAGGCCACAATGTGTAAAGCTCAGAGAAAAGCCTCTAATGGAAGCTCCTGGTCCAGGTCACAAAGGGGTAGCAGGGTGCCTGCAGGTGCCTGCAGCTGTGGGTAAAGGTTAGTACAGAGCCCCAGTTGGGCAACATAGGAGCAGCCTGTTGCAGGTGAATGCAGATGTCTGATTAAGGTTAGAGCTGTGCCCCTCTTCTGCATTCAGAGGAAAAGAGGTTCACAGGCACTGCAAGGGGAGTCAAGGGCACCCCAGCCACACAGGAAGAGTAGGCACATGTCCATGGTGAGAAAGCTCATGATGTGGCGGGCACTTGGGAAACACGGGGTACCTCCTCACGTGGGGCCCAGACCTGGGATGAACTGCCTGGCAGTTTGGGCCTCTGTAGAGGACAGAGGCCCAAGAGGCCCATGGTGGCTGGGCTCTTACCGCTGTGCAGAAGTAGCCGCAGCCGGGACAGCACTGGTGTTTCACCATGCGACCCCGATGGTCCTCACACAGCACCAAGAGTGGTGCCTTGTTGGACGGGCGCATCAGCTCGTACTTGACCACGCTGTTTGTGCACCGGCCCAACTGCAATCAGACAAGACCAGGGTCAGTGACAGAGCCATGAGAACACAGCTTTCCGACCCACGGGCCCTGGGACATGCCCGACATGGGGAGGTGCCCAAGAACAAGCCCAAACTCAAGATAAGTTCAGAGCACCTCTATACACGTGCCAGCACCAAGAACCCAAAAAGGAGTCACTGTGTTCTGCACACCTGTGGAAGATGGCAGTCAGGTGATCACTCTCAGAAAACCAGAGGCTTAACCTGGGCAAAAATAGAGGAAACCATCAAGAAGATAGGAAGGCTGGGCTGGGTGTCAAAGAACAATGACTATATACTAGGCAGGACAGCCCAAGCCATCAGAGACAACCAAGAGGATGGTGTAGAGAACTCAAGTAGTCCAGGGCAGCCAGTGCACACAGGGTCCCTGCTGAGATGCAGAAAACAGAGAGCAACAAAGTCTCTGGGACTGCTTGAGAGACAAGGGCTCTGGAAGTCCTAAGAGGACCAGGATTTGAGGACAGTCATGGTGGAAGCAGAGGCTGCTTCAGAGTGAAGACATCTGAGATACGATGACACAGCTTGCCATGCTGGGCAAATGGGGATGCTGCACAGGCAGAGGGTCTTGGTTTACTGTGCAAAGCTATCCGATAGCCAGTAAGAAAACAAAAAGTAGCCCATCAAGAAAAGCAAAGAACTGCATGGGAATTCACAAAAGAACTACCACAAATGCCCCCTAAACAAATAACTAAATGCTTGAATATTCTGATAATCAAGGAAATGTGAAACAAATAGCCTCTGGGATTCTTCTATTTTGTTGTACAAATATCACCATTCAGTCAGGCCTCAAATGTATTTTGTAGCTATGAGTGGCTTGGATGGTATACATGACCTGCCAGAATAACAACACCCACTCAGATTGTATTAGACTCATCCAGGGAGTTTTTTGCTCATTTTGTTTTTAAGACAACTTGGCCATCACCCCATTATCAACAAAAACTGGAAGGGAGAAAACGGGGCACGTATATCTAAGGGAGGTTTAATTCTTCTCTAACATGACCAAATGGTTCTGTTTTGCACCTCTGGTCAAGACCTATGGGTGCAGGTCATTCATAGAAACTGATTTATAAAAATGTTTACACTAGACTAAGACATGTCCCAGGGCTCATACATAAAAAGTCTGGAAATATGTACAAAAATATAGTGAATTACAATGACCAGTTACCTCAATGTTGGAATAAGAAACAATTTGTACTTCCTTCTTCAGCCATGCATTTAAGTATCTCAATTTTACAATGAGCGTAGATTATTTATGTAAACAGTGAAACCCAGTTAGGGTTGAAATGACAGAGAAAACAGAAACAACTAATGAATAAGGGAGATAAATATGCCACCACCCATGGTAACCCCAAAGAAATCTCATAGAAAGGGAAATGGGGGACATCCAGGAACATATGACAGAGAACATTGTGAAGGAGGACCACACAGGAAAGGGGTCACATACATCATCACAAGACAGAAAGCAAGCCAAATACTGTCCTGCCTTGCTCATGGACCGCATGCAGGAACTAGCAAACTGAAGACTAGAACTACCAAACTGAAGACCTCACATTAGAGTGAGGCAGGGCTGGCTTTTGAGGAATGGATGAGGCAGACCTAAATGACTATGCATGCCAGGCTCGACCCTCCAACACATTCATCACTACAATGGACTTCCTACCAATTTTAGAGTGTCTCATTGCTTTATGTTTATGTTTTATGTTTATGAGTAAACATTCCACTAAGAAACACTGCAAGAACAGAGACAAAGTACAATGAGCCCACACCTAATCCTAATTTCCAAAGTAACTAATATTCTCCATTTTCATTTGCACTCTCCCTTACCTTTTTGTTAGGGAGAGATGGGCTGGAGTATTTACGGGAATCACATTATTTTACCCTTAAATAATTCAGAGTGTATTATTAACATACCCCTCAGACTATCCTCATACAAAACAAAAGCAGTAATTCCTCAGAGCACCCAATATCCAGGGTTCAAAGATTCTCTGCATTGATTTACTAGGACACAAACAACACAAAGCACCTGGCCAGCCTCATCTAAAAGAGCTCCCACTTCTTTTGTTACAGTTTGAATCTAAAGTGTCCTCCAAAGTCTCCTGTGTGTAGGTGATATGAACATGGAGTGCCCAGAATAGATGCATCCTTTGTTAAGTTCAGTGGCTTGGGTGTTGTTTGGGAAGGTCTGGTGGAAGGGGTATAGGTCACTGAAGTTACAGGCTGGAAGGGTGTGTTCTTTTTCCTGGCTTCTCTCTTCTTCCTCTTTTCCTGGCTGCCATTGGTTGAGTGCCATTCCTACACTAAACCCCTCCATGTTGTTTCTGCTTTGGATTCAGCTGAATGTGGACTAAAATTTCCAAAATAAGTCTCTCCCCCTTTAAGCTGTTTAGATATTGTGCCCCAGTGACAAGTGATTAATACAGAACATTAGTGTCAGGAGGAGAGTCAATGTGACAATGTTGTTTATCATGTGTTTCAGAAGCCTGTGGAACTAGTCTGCAAGATGAGTTTGGTAAAGTTTGGAGAAGCAGGCTACAGAAGGCCTAGAATGTGAGCAATGTTTGGTGTATGACACTGGTGGGTGCTCTGAAGATCAGAATGCTAATAAAAATGCAAACAGTAAACACGAGGCTTATGAGGTTTCAATCAGGAATGAGGACTCTACCAGAAACTGGACTAGAAGCCCTGTGTGTTTCATTTTGGCAAAGAATTTGTTTTTTCCATACCCTCAGACTTTGGGTGAGGATGAATTAATGTGTCAAAGGAAAGTTCACGTAGCTTATGTTCAGACTGTGGCATGGATAGTACTGGTTACTTTTAGACAGATTTACAATGAGAACCAGAAGAAAAAAGCAGAGCCTAAAGATATAAAAATTTTGTAGCTTGGTCAGAAAAGAAACATCTATAAAATAAAAGAAAACATGGTTGCTGAAAAGCTCAGTATTAAAAAGAAGCCAAATACTTTGCCTCAGGTTACTAGGAAAGATGCCTTGAAGGCATCTTGGGAAATGTTCAGATTCCTTTCCATCACTGGCACAGGGGAGTAAAAGGGTAAACTCCTTTCAATGAGTTTGCATAAAAAAGAAAGCCCCAGGGTACCCTGCCCAGGGTCACCCAGGGAAATGCAGTCTGGAGTTGCTGGCACTCATAAGTCTCTGCAGCACCAGTCCTAGAGGACCAGGCTACTGCAAGAGCTGACAGCAGACAATCACACAGTCCAGGTGGTAATAGTTTTCAGGCGGCAGAATGCAAGAGTTGTGGGGTCATAGAGCTTTACCAAGATTTCAAACAAAGGTCTGGAAGGTCAGGCCAGGAGTCCTTTATAGTTTTGTATGAATCTGCATAAGTTAAGTAGATGGTTCAGTGCAGATCTTTAGATAAAGGAGACACCAAGAGCATGAAATGTTTGTTGAAGAAAGCTGCAAAGAGTGAGCAAAGCCAACCCAACAGAGAGGCCATGTGGGATGCATCAGGCAAGGCCACAGGGGTAGGAGACTGTCCAAGCCCTTTGGAGCTCACATTGCCAAGAAAGCCCCAGGGTGCCATGCCCAGGGTCACCCAGGGAAATGCAGGGGCAGGAGACTGTCCAAGCCCTTTAGAGCTCACATTGCATCAAAACCTGCCTTGAGCTTCAGTGTTTAACATTCACCTGCTGGATTTTGTCCTGCTTTGGTCCTAATCCCTCCTACTTCCCTGTTGTTGCCTCCTGAAATGGGAATGTACTCTGTATCATTGTAGTTGGAAGTGTTTAATGCTCATTTTCACAGGGGCTCACAGTTAAGAATTTGCCTTGAGTCTTGGAAGACTTTGCTCATGGACTTTTCAGTAATCCTGAAATACCTGAGCAACTTTTTTTTTTTTTAAATCGGTACTGGGAATCGAACTCATGACCTTGCAAGGCAGGTGCTTATGCCGCTGAGCTAAATCCCCAGCCCTACCTGAGCAACTTTTAAAAATAGACTAAACGCATTTTGCACAATGAGATGAATCCTTTTGGGGGACAAATGTTACAATTTGGATCTAAACTATCACTCAAAAATTTCATGTAGGAACTGGGTGCAGTGGTGCACACCTGTAATCCCAGCACTCAGGAGGCTGACAGGAGGATCACAGTGAGTTTGAGACCAGCCTGGGCTACAAAGTAGTTCAAGGCCAGCCGGAAATGCATAACAAGACTCTGTCTCAAAAGGGCTGGGGGGTTTAGCTCAGCAGCATAAGCACCTGCCTTGAAAGCAGGCAGTTGTGAGTTCGATCCCCGGTACCAATTAAAAAAAAAAAAAAGAAGAAAAGAAAAAGAAAAAAAAAATTGTATTTCATGTAGAACTGGGGACATAGCTCAATAGTACAAGCACTTGCTTGGCACATGAAAGGTCCTGAGTTCAATTCCTGGCACCTAAATAAATAAATAAAATTTCATGTGTTCAGAGGTGTGGCTTTTAAAAGGTGACTGGATCATGAGTACACTACCCTCATCTGAGGATTTATCCATGGCTAAGTAAGGCGACTCATGTCCTAATAGAGGTGGGGCCTACTTGGAGGGGTAGTCACTGGGGTAAGGACTGGAAAGCTATACTCTTGTTTTCAGCTCCTCCTTTTGTCCTTTCTCTCTCTGCTTCCTGGCTGCCATGGATAGAGCAGCTTTCCTCTGCCAGGCCCTCCCACCACACTGCGTCTGCTTTAGAGTCAGCCAATTTTGGAATTAATCCACTAGAAATTGTGATCCAAACAAACCTTTCCTCCTTTAAGTTGCAAATATGAGGTTTTTTTGCCCCAACCAACAGAAAGCTAACTAAGATACCTTTGCTCCCATTCATATCATTCACCATGAAGAATCTGAGAAATGCTGGCTATAGAATCTCTCTTCTAACCAGCAAGGTTCCCTTTTACATGACCCTCTAATGGCTAAACCTCTGAAACCTGGCAGTGAAGTCTAGACCCAGCCTGTTGTAGGCCCTTCTCCAGGCCAAA